AATTAGATCAAAGTCTTTTCGAAAAAAAAGAAAATTGTTATTTTTAGATTTTCCAGATAAAGGTAATTCCAAAGTAAACAGTTATTAACATTTAGCAGAAAAGCTTTAACTCTAATTCAATGAACAAATTGGCTTTTAAAATAAGTCTCTGAAGAAATCGAAATGCAAAATTAATCGAACGCTTGTGATCGAAATTTTACAAATTTTCATCAATTTACTTCGCCTTCAAAACTTAAGATTCGTTCGTTCTTTACTTGTCCAGAAGCTTGAAAGTTTATCGACTTTTAAACAAAACTTTTAGTTATATTCGAAAGCCTTTGAGAACTTTGGCTTCGACTTTGACTGAATTGCTGAAATCCTTCGAGAAGTACGAATGAAAATTTCCATCAAGTTCGATGCTGAATCGAAGCTAATGTAAAGTCTTTTCGGCTTCATTTCGCTCGATATGTCAAGACGTAAAAATTGTTGAATATTGCTGTAAATAACGAATATGCATTTTTACAGAAAATTGAATTCTTGCCATGATCATGTTTATTCTCTGATTTTTTTTCTATTCAATCTATAAATCGATAATCAATATGAAACAAGAATCAAAGGCTATCTGAAACATGGTAAACATATCACATAAAGTTCGTGAACCAACAAGATTACTTTTTTTCCTCATTTTTTTCCTCGGTTCAACTCTATACTGGTCAGAATCATTTCTAGTTTTTTCTTTGGGCATCAAGCAATGAATGCGCCAAATAAAAGGAGCTTCATGTAAATATTATAACTGATATTCGAAAAAAGGATAATCTGAAGGCAGAAGTGGAATTATCATAAGATTTTGATCGTTTTTTGTTGATCATGATTCATGTAGAGTAAAATTTTTGGGCAAAGAAGAAAATTTCTTTTTTCTTTTGATAACTTTCTTTTCTTGGTCTTTTCAGATATCAATCAGATTTATGTAAATGGTTATTCACTGATTGAATGAAAACTGACAAATGTTGAAATGAACATTTTCTTCCTCTTCTCACCGTTTTACATTTGAAAGGAAGAAATATTTATTAATAGAAAATGATAAACACCAAGAATATTGAAATGGACTGAAAAGGAAGGAGAACGTTGAAATTTCATGAAACATGGCGTCACACATGATTGATGCTAAGTAACTGTGTTATCCATAAAAGTAGTGATCATCATTATCAGCCTATTTTGGGTTTGGGTAAAAAATGAAATTCTGTCAAAGAGAAAATGGAAAAAGAAAAATTTGGAGAAAAAAAACTTTTTCTTTCTCTTTTGTTTCACAAAACTGAGAGCAATTATTCAGTGGAAAATGCATGATAACGATTAAATTGGAATTTAACTTTCAAGATAAAGAATCGTGTTTTACTTGACCATCGAACAAAAGCAAATGTTGAATGGTTTCGAGTTGTGAGTTGGAAAGAAAATGAATTTGTTGAATTGATGAATAAGCATTGAAGAGTTGGAGGAAAGGCGAAAAATGATGAAAAACATTTTTTTTCTTCTCCAAGCAAATTATCATGAAAAATTTTGTTCCATTCTGTTTCTCTCTTCAATGAATGTTCATTGAACCAAATAAGCACAGGTTTACGAGATGTGATTGGACGAGAGTTGGGATGAAGAGAAGGAAGAAAAGTGTTAATGTGTTAAATGTTGAGATTATTCTGTAACATGATGAGAAGGAAAGAAACAGGGAAAAATGATGAGCAAAATGAAAAGTAATATCATGAAAGAAAAGGCAAAGAACAAGAAGACTCAAGGTAAAGATTTATCTGGCAACTTTATTGGATAACTTGATGACTGTTGATTGGGTGAGTTGCTGTTCGATGATTAGGATCTTTGGCCTTTGGTACACTTGGAGTTTACCTGTTTCCATGTGTCGAATCACGTAATGGAACTAAACCTTTGCTAAGCCCAATGATCCGGAGAAGAAACTGAATGCTGATTGGAATCATGTTGATTATGATGAAAATGAGGAAAAGGAAGAAAAGAAGATGAAATTATTTTCTTCTTCTTCTTCTTTTCTCTTCCTTTTCTTGCTCGATGCTCCTTGTTAGTCAAGTTCAATTCCAATGAATATAATATGCTTTTTTTGTTTCTCTCTGTTTTCTGGTGTTTCTCTTGATTCTCCATGAATCCATTGAGAATTGGTAAAAGCATTTGGTTTAAGGAATAACATTGTCGATCATCTAAGAAAATCCTTAAACTCAATGATTCTCATCATCATTATCGTCATCATTCAGATTCTTTATCGCGATACAAAAATTGACTTCCCAGGCATTCCCAGTATTCTGGATAACAGTTAATTCCTTGCATTGATTGTTCTTATCTTTTCCAATCTTTTCCAATTTTTGTTTCTTCTTTTCTTTTTTATCGATTATTTAAACAATATTACTCTTGAACTTTCAAATTTTACTCAATTTTCTCTTCTTTTCACCCAATTTTGGGAAATCAATATAAATTGCAACAATTATTGTCTTATGTTCAACTTTGAAAGTTGAGACTTTTCAGTTTTTACCTTTTCTTTTCAACTTTTTCTTCCCTTCGAAATCGAAACTTGCAATAAATATTTGATTAAATGAAAGTGAATCAATTATTCGACAATTTATTTCGATATTTCAAGCATTGAGATGAAAGATGAGAAGATAATTTCAATTCTGTTGTGAATGCTCATCTTGATGAGTCTAACAGAAAAGTTGAAAAGCAAAAGAAAAGCATTTTAAAGTGAAAAAATGGAAAACTTGAGAATGAAATTTTTTTCCATTTTCTGCGCTCCAATAATTTATAACATTTCACATG